CCTGGGCATTGTATCATCTATAACTATTAATTGATTACTACTAATTGCTACTAATACATAAATTATAGACTAGCATCAACAGAAGATATTACAGAACTAAGAAATTTATATTTGAGATGCGATGATATAGAGAAAAATTTTTGTGTAAATATTAGAGCTTACAATAGCGCTTTTGCATTTACCTCAATGGGTGTAAAATTGGATGAAAAACTTGCAAATAGTAAATAAGATTTAATTTTAAAAAACCCCTATACTTGACTAAGTAGTAACTTTTTTATAGGTAAAGATGGAGTTTACACGTTTAGAGCACAAGATGGAATTTACCACTTAATTGGATCTCTGCTTCCAATAGATGGAATACTGAAATTTCTCCAATTATACATCTATGATACTGAATTTGAAATAGCTAATAGACTTTATATTATGCCTCAACTTCGTCAAGATATTTTAGAATTTATCAAATTAATGTTAAATCAGTTAAATCCTTTCATTATCAATTTTCGCTCTATATCATCTTATATGAATATAGCTGAACTTTGCTTGCTTATAAGAGCTGATCATGGTTTAGACCAACATGTTTACAACAAACTGACAGCCTTGCAGGTTGCTGCTGTCTGGGTAGAAGGTAATAACTCCACAGAATATGCAGAACGTGATATAATTGTGCAAATACAATCTAAAGGTTTAGTAAAAATTTCTGAATTAAGTAGGTCATATAACCCAATGCAATATCCACTACTTTTCTCCCAAGGCGATTATGCTTGGTATCCAAATATATTACAATATGAATCACAAAAAAAAGTTACAGCTAGACAATATTATGCATATAAATTGCATTTTCGTAAACCACTTGCCATACTTTTTTTGGGTGGATGACTTTTTCGACAATACATCGTTGATAATTATGTTAAGATAGAATGTGCATGTCTTAATTACTTATGATTTACACAAAATAAAATATGTAAAGAAGTATACCAAGGCTTACAAGATTGCTTCCAATCTGAATTAAACAACATATCAGAAGTAGGACGCTATATTGTTTTACCTTCATTCTTTATAGGAGGCCCTCGCGATATGTACCAGAAATATCAGGATGCAATAGCATTAGTACAAGCGTATGGAAGGCCAAATTTATTTATCACTATTATATATAATTCTTGGTGGCCCAAAATTACATCAAAATTAATGTCAATGCAAATTCTGCAAGATAGACCAGATCTTACAGGTAAAATATAACTTTTGTCTACAGATAATTCCTGAAAAATTTATTATCAAAAAAAAATAAAAATATATATTAAATCAAATAAATCTAACTACAAAAATAATTTATTGTTTATACGCATATAGCTTGAATTTTTAAAGCAAAATTAGAAGAACTTAAAAAAGATCTTTATATCAAAGGCATTCTTGGTCGTATAATTGCACACATGCATATAGTAGAGTTCCAGAAACATGGACTCCTGCATGCGCATTTATTATTGATATTTGATCCAGAAGACAAGCTTCGTGAAGCTAATGATTATGATACTCTTGTATTTGCAGAAATACTAGACCCAATAAAACAATCCAGATTATTCAAAATGGTCATCTCTTTTATGATTCATGGTCTATGTAGATCTTTTAATCGTAATGCGCCATGTATGAAGAAAGGCATATGTGCTAAACATTATCTGAAAAATTTTATTCAAGAAACATGAGAAGGTGATGACTCATATCCTTTATATCGCAGGCATGATAATAATAGATATGAATAATTAAAAATATAAAATTGGATAATCATTGGGTTGTCCCGTATAATCCCTATCTGTTGCTCAAGTATAACTGCCACATAAACATTGAAATATGCTCTAGTATTAAATCGGTCAAATATTTATATAAATATATATATAAAGGACATGATCGTGCATTCTTAGAAATTTCAAACAGAGATAAGATTAGTTAGTATCTGGATAGTTAATGGGTTTCAGCTTCTGAAGCGTGTTGGAGGATTTTTGGATTCGATATGTCACACATATATCCCTCTGTAATTCGTTTGCAAATACACCTTCCTAACCAACAAAACATAATGTTTTCAGAAAAATCCAACCTGAGCAATATACTTGCAGATAAACAAAATCAAAAAACTATGCTGACTGAATATTTTGAAATAAATAAAATTGATACTGAAGCAAAAAATTATACATATCTCGAATTCCCACGCTATTATGTATGGAATCAAACAGCTAAAAAATGAACAAAACATAACCAGAGAAAAACGATAGGAAGAATATACACAGTTAATCTGATCGAAGGAGAACATTATTATTTACGTATACTTCTCAACAATGTTAAAGGAGCTACTTCGTTTAATGATTTAAAAACAATTAATAGTTACCAATGTTCAACATTCAAAGATAGCGCATTAAAATAAAAACTTACAGAATCAGAACGAATGTACTATGAAACTATGTATGAAGCGGCTTAGTTTCAAATACCTTTCGCATTGCGACAACTATTTGTTACTATACTATTGTTTGGAGAACTAAATAATATAATATTTCTGTGAGATAACAATTATATATATATGTCAGAAGACTTCGCAAAGAATGGAATTCCTGACGGCCAACTCTGAATCAACGCAGTTCTTCTTCACATAAAACATCTTCTTGAACAACATTATAAATGTCTAAATGACTTCGATCTTCCTACACTTATTCTACTATATGATCTTCCAAATGAACTACTAAGACTCATACTAAACGAATTAAATATTCCTATATCAGCTGAAGATTTGGAAAAAATTAGACTATTAAATAAAGAGCAGAAATTAATATTTGATACTATAATGGAAAGTATTAAAAAAGATAAACCTATCATAATTTTCGTCGATGGACCCGCAGGTATTATTACAATTACAATAGTAATCATATATACAGTTTTATATAAATAATATAAATAATAAGCTTATTATTACAACTATAAGTACTAAAAAACTAATTAAATTTTTACAATTTTATTATCAACCCGTTAAAATAAACTTATAACCATCTTAGGTTCAGGAAAAACCTTCGTTTATCTTTGTCTACTTGCTAAAGTTCGTTCAACCTACTCAATTGCACTTGCAACAGCTTCATCAGGCATAGCGGCCTTACTCATGCCAGGAGGACAAACTGCTCATTCTAAATTTAAAATACTCTTGAATATAAACTCCAACTCGACATATTCTATCAGCAAACAAAGTAATTTAGCTAAATTACTTAAATTAGCGAAATTAATAATATTAGATGCAACGATCACTTGGCACAAAAATTTACAGACAGGCAAGATACAAAACACGTCAAAAACAACAATATTTCTCGCCAACAACAAAAGAAAGCGTGAATAAAGCATAAGCAGCAGCCTGTTTTAGTTTAGATAGTCAATTAGAATAGCAAGGAAACTGAAAAACTGAACAATACAACTTTATTATCAGCAGACGTGCCTAAACAACAGAAGCTAGAAAAAAGGAAGTACTCTATCAAAACTTGTAGAAACCACAAACAAAACACTGAGACAAGCCATATTAAGTTACAAAATACAGAAAATTGGCAGAGGATTAGAGCAAGAATAAGAAAAACAACACTTGCTCGAACTAAAACTTACTCATCTCAGCTTAGAATTAGGGAACCGTTGTTGACTCTGTATTGCAGATCACTTGTGAAACATAAGTTACTGGGCTACACAAAAGCAACAAACTCTTGAATACATGTAAAAACACGTAAAAACACGTAATTCATACACATATCACGTGACAAAGCAAAGCCACATATCTTTACAAATAGTGACTTAAAATGCCAAATTTAGAGGATTTTAGAG